AACGTGAAACAGGAAAGAAGCTGAAATGTCTCCGATCTGATAATGGAGGCGAGTATACTTCCAAGGAGTTTGATGCATATTGCAGGACATATGGCATTCGACATGAGAAGTAAGTACCACGTACCCCTCAGCACAACGGTGTTGCTGAAAGAATGAATCGGACTATCATGGAGCGTGTCCGAAGCATGATGAATATGGCTAGATTACCAAAGCCATTTTGGGGAGAAGCTGTCAAGACCGCATGTTATCTGATCAACCGATCACCTTCAGTTCCATTAAATTTTGAAGTTCCAGAGAGAATATGGACTGGTAAGGATCCGACATACTCACATCTCAGAGTATTTGGTTGTGTATCATATGCACATGTATCCAAAGAGCTCAGGAAGAAGCTCGATGCGAGGTCCATCCCATGCATTTTCATTGGTTATGGAGATGAAGAGTTTGGATACAGATTTTGGGATCCAAAGGAGAAAAAGGTGATCAGAAGTAGGGACGTTGTGTTCCAAGAAAATTTGACAATAGAAGATATCGAAAAGCCCAAGATGTCTCAGAAGTCAAATGTAGGTGCTCAAGTTTCAGATGAAGCACCAGAATTGTTCCGGAGAAACAATGAAGATGATGTACCAGAAGAAGATGAGGAGACAGAAGAGAGTGCAGAGCAAGGGGAGCAACAACCCACCTCGCCAGAGCAAGGGGAGCCACAACCCATTTTGTCAGACACCAATGTTGGAAGTTCTTCTCAGATGGTTCTACCCACTCGTAGATCTGAACGAGGTCATATACCATCAAAAAGGTACTTATCATCTGAATACCTTCTATTGACAGAAGATGGAGAACCAGAGAGTTTTCAAGAAGCCGTATCTCATAAGGATAAAGAAAAATGGATGGCTGCGATGCAGGAAGAGGTAGATTCTCTGCAGAAAAATCAAACTTATGAGATTGTTAAAATTTCAAAAGGGAAAAAGGCTTTGCAAAACAAATGGGTGTTCAAGCTGAAGAAAGATGCAAATGGACAAGTGGTGAAACACAAAGCTCGATTAGTTGTCAAAAGCTTTCAGCAGAAGAAAGGGATTGATTTTGACGAGATCTTTGCACCAGGTGTCAAGATGACCTCAATTCGAGTCATACTTGGCTTGGCAGCAAGTATGAATTTGGAGCTTGAACAGATGGATGTGAAGACAGATTTTCTTCACGAAGATTTGAATGAAGAAATCTATATGCAGCAGCCAGAAGGTTTTGAGGTTTCAAGTGAGAACCTCGTGTGCAAGCTATCTAAAAGTTTGTATGGTCTAAAGCAAGCACCAAGGCAGTGGAATAAGAAGTTTGACTCATGCATGAAGAGTCAAGGTTACAAGAAGACTACTGCAGATGAGTGTGTTTATATCAAGAGATACTCAGATGGAGCTTTCATAGTTCTTCTACTGTACGTCGACAACATGTTGATCGTTGGAAATGATACAGAGAAGATAAGCCAGCTGAAGAAAGAACTTTCTAAGTCTTTTGATATGAAAGATTTAGGAAAGGCTCAACAGATTCTTGGGATGCAGATTACTCGAGACCGAGAGAACGACAAGTTATGGCTATCTCAAGAGAAGTACATTGAACGAGTACTTGAAAGATTCAATATGAGTGATGCCAAACCAGTGACTATTCCACTTGCGAATCATTTCAAGTTGAGCAAGAGATCATGTCCTACATCCAAGGAAGAGATGGGAGAGATGTCTGTAGTGCCATACTCCTCAGCAGTTGGAAGTCTGATGTATGCAATGGTGTGTACAAGGCCAGATATTGCTCATGCAGTGGGTGTAGTAAGTCGTTTTCTTTCTAACCCCGGGAAGGAGCATTGGGAGGCTGTCAAATGGATTCTCAGATACTTGAAAGTAGGGGTGAGCGTGGGTCGGTACGGTTCGGAGATTGATAAATCTCCAGAACCGTACCAAACTTCGGAGATCCCAAAATTCGATCTCCGGAACCGTACCAAAAAGTCGGTTCGGTTCGGTTCAGAGATTTTATTTTTCGGTTCAGTTCGGTTCGGTATTCGGGACTATTGGGACGGTTCGGTTCGGTATGGTTTGGTTCGGATCTTCGAAGATTTTTTATTCTTTTAGATTATTTTTGAATGACTACTTAGTTATATTTCAATTTTTATATGCTTTAAAAAACAACTTTCATCAATAATTCATTATATTGAAGATTTTATTTTGAAATCAATTCTAGAAGTAACTCTAAATTTTAGTATTTAATTTTTATATGCTTTAATAAAACCAACATTCATCACTACTTCCTCACATTAAAGATTTTATTTTGAAATCAACTTTATAAGTAACTCTAAGTTTTAGTTATAACTAAATTTTGTGCAACTAATATTGAAAAGTTAACATTCAAATAAAATATAATATTTTTTTCTTAAAAAAAATATTTTTTAAACTTTCATATTATTTTAAATAATTATTTTATAATAGAAAAAATTCAATTGTAAATCAAATATTACTAAGAATGAAATTTAAGTGAATGTTAATATTTATTACTATATTATATAGAATCAAAGTTGACATAAAATATATTAGTAACACATTTAATGTTAGAATTCGGTTCTTAATCTCGGTTCTTCGGTTCGGTACAGTACGGTACGGTTCGGTTCGGTTCTCGGTACGGATATTTGTGAAATCTCTAAAACCGTACCAATTATTTTTTCGGTTCAGTTCGGTTCGGAGAAAGTCAAACGGTCAACGGTTATTTTTCGGTTCGGAGTGATTTCGGTTCGGTTTTCGGAACGGTTCGGAATTCTCCAAGTCCCATGCTCAGCCCTACTTGAAGGGTACTTCTAAGTTATGTCTTTGTTACGGGGGAGCTGATCCAGTCTTGGAAGGATATACTGATGCTGATATGGCCGGAGATATCGATTGTCGAAAGTCTACTTCGGGCTATGTCTACACTTTTGCAGGGGGGGCAATTTCTTGGCAATCAAGATTGCAGAAGTGTGTTGCTTTATCCACAACAGAAGCTGAATATATTGCTGCCGCTGAAGCTGGTAAAGAAATGTTGTGGCTAAAACGCTATCTCCAAGAACTTGGGATTAAGCAGAATGAGTATAAGGTATATTGTGATAGTCTAAGTGCTATTGACTTAGGAAAGAACTCTATGTACCATGCCCGCACAAAGCATATTGATGTTCGGTATCACTGGATACGCGAGAAGATTGATCAACAGCTGTTGAAACTAGTGAAGATCAATACGAAAGAGAATCCATCAGATATGTTGACAAAAGTGGTTACACTGGATAAGCTTAAGCTATGCAGAGACATAGTAGAAATGCTTGTTCAGAACTTGCATGGAAAGGGGAGAATTGACAGTTCCATGCATGTCTTCTCCCAACTACCACAAGCACACCAAAGGAGAAAGAATGGTAAAGCACACCATTGAAGAAAAAATGCCATCCACCAACCTTCTTCTTTCACACACAATCGTCAACAATGGTGTCCTTAATTTGTATCTATAAATAGGCTTGTTAGTTCATTCATTCAAATCATCCTTGAGTGATCAATCAACCTTGAGAGTGTTGAAACACAACCAAGAAAGAGTTGTGGAGAGTTTGAGAGTTTTTTTGTTTAGAGTTTGTAAATCTCTTGTGTTTTTATTCTTGTGAGTAATAGAAACTTGTTTTTCTCTCAAATTATGTTTATGATCTTGGGATGATACCACAACAGTGTGCTTATATATTTCTATTTATTATTTATTTATTATGTTTATGGTCACTTAATACTCCTATTCTCGCTCCCTTTTTTCGACTAGATGGAGTTCAACTCATGACATCAAAGCTAAAAGTTGTAGGTGTGAGATAGAGCTAGATCTCATTGTTAAGAGTTAGAGTTTGAGTTCTTCGTGAGAATTCAGTGGTTAAAGTCGTAAGAGTGAATTGCAAACTCTTTGTATGTGTGAGTTTGGTGCTCTTTGTTTAAGTGAACTTTGATCTCCTTTGCATGTGTACACTTGGAGAACTTTGTTCGAGTGAGAATGATGTAGAGGATGTATTCGAAAGGGAATAAAGAACGCAAGAACAGTTTTCTGTAATCTCACAATAATAATACGATAAATGAATTCAACTGTTCAATGAGTGGGTACATAAATGAAGAGCCCACTACTCAGCAACGTCCTAATTAATTAATTAACTACTCCACTAATAAAAATAACATAAATGAAAACTATAATAACTAATAAACTGACAACTAATAAAGACCGGGAAAATAAATAATCTAAACTCGAAGACGGTCATATTTGTATGAATGAGATTTTTGTAAAGACAGAGAAGAAACTTTATGGTAATTATCTGTCAAGTAGTGTTGTTTCCATACAGCTAACTTTCAACTTTTCAAATAACCAAATTTTGCAAATGCCTCCCCCACCTTTCAAATATTGAATGGCGCGTCACACGTGCTTACAGCAAACTTTTTTTTTTTTCATTTTTTAATATAACAAAGTATTTATTTAAATTAGAAATCTTTATCCACAATCATCGAAAATTTCCACTATCAAGTTTGCTAAATAAGGAAGGTCCAACTATCTCTAAAATATTATTCTCACTCCCAACGTAAATCTCCAACCTCCCACTTACTAAGCATGGGCTTCGAAACCACCGCCCCAACACCACAGCCTACCACCGTATGCGTAACCGGAGCCGGCGGCTTCATCGGCTCATGGCTCATCATGAGGCTCCTCGAACGTGGGTATATTGTTCGTGCAACAGTTCGCGATCCTGGTATTAACTAGCTTAATATACACAATTCTAATTTCCTTTTTCATATAGAAGTAAAACATATTCACTCACCACCATTAAAAGAACATTAGAGTTCATATGACAAACAAATGAAATGAGTAGTTATTACAAGATTTAAGGATGACATGCATTATGCTGATTTATGTAACTGTGTAGGGAACATGGAGAAAGTAAAACACCTAATAGAATTGCCGAATGCAAATGCAAACTTGACTTTGTGGAAGGCAGACATGAACATACAAGGAAGCTATGATGAAGCAGTCCATGGTTGTGAAGGGGTGTTTCACATGGCTACACCTATGGATTTTGAATCTCATGACCCTGAGGTATGTCCTTATCGGACAACTTTAATCGACGCTGACGACATTTCGTTATCAAACAATATGTCAAGACACAAGTTAATCTAACACATATTCGTTATAAATCTTTTTTAAAGCTAGCTAGTTGTGCAGTAAATAAATACAACACAAATCGACTCTCCTCACCATGACTAAATCTAAGAATTACTTCCAAAAATGTATACCTTTTTCTTCTGGATATGTCATTTCAATACTTTTCGACGCTTCTTGCAGCATTTTTGAGCAATCTTACTATATAAACAATTGAAAAATAGTTAATAGTGATACCTGAATGCGATATTACAGAATGAGGTTATAAAGCCAACAGTAGATGGTATGTTGAGCATAATAAGATCATGCGCCAAAGCCAAAACAGTGAAGAAATTGATCTTCACAAACTCAGCTGGGACATTGAATGTCGAAGAACAACAAAAACCAGTCTACGATGAAACCAACTGGAGTGACCTGGATTTCATTTACTCCAAGAAAATGACTGGATGGGTTAGTTTTTGTCTTCCCCCACCATTTTCTCGTTCAGACATCATATTTGAATCAGATGGTTCTATTCATCGCTTTAAAATTATCGGTAATCCTCTTTTCGTGCAGATGTATTTTGTATCCAAGATTTTGGCTGAGAAAGAAGCAATGCAAGCAGCTAAAGAGAGCAACATTAACTTCATAAGCATTATACCACCTTTGGTAGTTGGTCCATTTATCATGCCCACTTTACCAC